CTTGCATTTCCCACTTTTTCGTGCTTGTTGTCTTTGCACTCATTGTTTCGCACTTGTTACCGGTATATTATTACAATAGGCTAAGTTTTGCCACGTTCTGCCCAGAAATGGCTCAGAAAAGATTTTCGTACAGTGCTGAATTCAAGTTAAAAGTGATCCAGTTTGCTAAAGTGAATGGAAATCATGCTGCTGAACATAAGTTTGGTCCTCCTCCAACTGAGAAAACAATCCAAGACTGGCTATGGGAAGAAGAAACCCTACTGAAAAGGCTACGGCAGAAGAAGGCCATGAGAGGCAATACATGAAGACAGTGATTCGTCATCAGACACAGATGAGGACAAGTTAATGGTTGGGAGTTTTGACAGTGATGAGGAGTTGTATAAATTTTATGATGAATAAAACTTGAGTTCAGGCCAGTGAAGCGACGACCTCCACAACTAGACTGAAGAACAAAAGGACAGCAACTTGTCTGTTCCCCTTCCCCAATTCCCCAATGCTATTCTCCTCCCCCAATTCCCCAATAAAATCTTTTAAAAAAAAAAACAAAAACTTAAGTTCAATAACTTTATTACTTTTTTTTTTCAAATTTCAGGCCCCAAAATTAAGGTGTGTCTTATACATGGGGAAATATAGTACAACTAAACTACAGAACCACCACCATTGAGAATCACCTGAAGTCTTGCTGAACCAATGCCCTACAATTAAGGACATAAATAAGAAGCCACCTTGAGACTGGTAGGAGGGATGGAGACACAGAACAGGCAGGTCCCATACCCTCATGTGACCATTAAAATTGGGAGGGATATCTTGGCTGTGGAGGTACCACCACCCCCACCCTCCCCGCCCCAGGGGAGAGAGGGATCCCAGCACCACACCAGGCTCTCCAGCCCAGGGTTTCAGTGCCAAGGAGAAAAGTTCCCACAACTTCTGGCTGTGAAAATCAGCAGAGATTACGGCTGAATGAGACGAGGGTGGCTGCAGTTCCAGGCGCTCCTCTTAAAGGGCCCATGCACAGACTTACTCACTGACGGAATCACTGTCTCTGAGCTCCAGCACTGGGGCATCAGCTCAAAGGCACCAGGGACATATGGGAAGGAACTGAGTTGTCTGGCTTCAGGGTAAGGGCTGAAGGAGCAACTTCCTCCCAGAGGGAGGAGCTGGCAGAAGTCATTGCTTCTTTGTTGAGACCCCACCCCTCCCAGTGTGCAGATACAAGTGGCCACCATATCTGAGTATCCATCAACCTGGCTAACACCCTTCATTTGCCCTGATTCCTGGAGACCCCCACCCCACCCAACTTTCAAGCACACCCAAGGCTCTTCCAGTAACTTTTCTATATAAATAGCCTGTCTTGGCTCATGCTGGGGACTTCCCTAAAATCTCTCAACGGTTCACAAAACCCAAACAAGCAGTATCTGGCTTCGGCATGTCCTGTACCTCTGGCTGAGCAGCCTCAAGCCCATAACAACAGCAGACCTCGGTTCACGGCTTGGTCTCTCAAGGTACCTCCAAGCCCAGTGTGGGAGGCAGCCACCTATGAATTGCTTTGTGGCTCATGCCAGGTCACCCTGGGCAGTCCTCACAACTAGTCAGCCAAAGGATCAATCTCTCCTATTGACATGCCAACAGCAACCAAGGCTCAACTACAAAAGGAGGAAACTACACAAGGGACACAACTTGTGTCCTGGCTCAGGTGACCAGGGAGACTGCACCACTGAGCCCCACAACACACCTACATAAGTTCACTCTATGAAGACCGGGAGGCATAGCAACCCTATCTAATACATAGAAACAAACACAGGGAGGCAACCAAAATGGGGAGACAAAGAAACATGTCCCAAATAAGAGAACAGAACAAAGCTCCAGAAAAATAACTAAACAAAATGGAGACAAGTAATCTACCAGACACAGAATTCCAAACACTGGTTATCAGGGTGCTCAATGGTCTCAGGGAGAACCTCAACAAAGAGATAGAAAACATAAAAATGGAGATGGTAACCATGAAAACAACCAGTTGGAAATAAAGAATACAATAACGGAAATAAAGAATACATTAGAGGGAATCAACAGTAGATTAGATGAATCAGAGGATCAAGTAAGTGATTTAGAAGATAAGGTAGAAGAAAACACCCAAACAGAAGAGAAAAAAAAAAGGAATCCAAAAAAAATTAGGTTAGTTTATAGTTTAAGGGGCCTCTGGGACAACATCAAGCATACCAATATTCGCATCATATGGGTACCAGAAGAAGAGAGCAAGGATTGAAAACCTATACGAAGAAATAATGACAGAAAACTTCCCTAACCTGGGGAAGGAAATAAATATACAAGCCCAGGAAGCGCAGAGTCCCAAACAGGATGAACCCAAAGAGGCCCACACCAAGACACATTATAATGAAAATGGCAAAGGTTAAAGACAAAGAGAATCTTAAAAGCAGCAAGAGAAAAGCAGTTAGTTACCTACAAGGGAGCTCCCATAAGACTGTCAGCTGATTTTTCCACAGAAACTTTGCAGGCCAGAAGGGATTGGCACAAAATAGTCAATGTGATGAAAAGTAAGGACCTACAATCAAAATTACTCTACCCAGCAAAGCTATGATTTAGAATCAAAGGACAGATAGAGCTTCCCACACAAGCTAAAGCTAAAGGAGTTCATCACCACCAAACCAGTATTACAAGGAACTTCTTTAAGGTGGCAAAAAAAAAAAGATAAAACATATGAATAATAAAATGGCAATAACTACATGTCTATCAACAATTACTTTAAATGTAAATGGATTAAATGCTCAAATCAAAAGACATAGGATGGCTAAATGAATAAGAAAACAAGACCCTTACATATGCTGCCTAGAAAAGACTCACTTCAGATTGAAAGACACACACAGACTGAAAGTAAAGGGATGGAAAAAGATATTTCATGAAAATGGAAATGAAAAAAAAAAGCTGGAGTAGCAATATTTATACCAGACAAAATAGACTTTGAAACAACGGCTACAACAAGAGACAAAGAAGGACCCAGTAATCCCACTTCTAGGTATTTATCTGAAGAAATCCACAATGCTACTTCAAGAAAACATGTGCATCTATATGCTCATTGCAGGATTGTTTACAATAGCCAAGAAGTGGAGGCAGCCTGGGTGTCTGTTGATGGAAGAATGGATAAAGAGGAGGTAGTATGTATGTACAATGGAATATTGCTCAGCCATGGAAGGAAATGGGTTCTTGTGATCTGCGGGGGCATGGATGGACCTGGAGGGTATTGTGCTGAGTGAACTATGTCAGACAGAGAAAGACAGATGCAATGTGATTTCACTTATATGTGGAATCCAAAGAACAAAGTAAACAAACAAAACAGAAACAAACTCATTGATACAGAAAACACTTTGATGGTTGCCAGATGGGAGGGAAGTTGGGGGGTAGGTGAAAAAGGGGAAGGGATTAAGTATAAATTTGTTGTTACAAAATAGTCATGGGGAGGTAGGATACAGCATAAGGAATATAGTCAATAAAATGGTAATAACTATGTACTCGTATAGTGCCAGGTGGGTACTAGACTAGTCAAGGGGATCACCTCCTAAAGTATAGAACTATCTAAACACTGTGCTATACACCTGAAATTAATATAAAATAATATTGAATGTCAACTGTAATTAAAAATTAAAAAGAGAGGGGAACGGGAAGAGGAATAAGAAGTTCAAATTTCCAGGTATAAAATAATTAAGTCATGGGGGTGTAACATACAGTGTAGGGAATATAGTCAATAATATTGTGATAGCGTGGTACAGTGTCAGATGGTTACTGGACTTATCATGGTGATCACTTCTTTTTTTTTTTTTAAGATTTTTTATTGGGGAATTAGGGGAACAAGAACAGACAAGTTGCTGTCCTTTTGTTCTTTGGTCTAGTTGTGGAGGACGTTGCTTCACTGGCCCTAGTTGGCACCATCATTGCACTCTTCCTGGGCGAGGCAGATCAGTC